TGCCGCTGATAGGCCAACTTTGACTTCACCGGATAACCTCTTTTTTTTGTCTAACCGACTACGAAAAATCAACCGATTACGGAAAATTCCGTATACAACACCTACAATGCCATTAGAAGGCTCCCAGGACCGGTCCATAGTGGTGGACCGCGAGGATAACGCGAGTAATGGGGGCATACCCCGAGGCCCGAAACCTGCAGGACATACCATAGTCCTAGCGGAAGACATCAACGTTGCAATTCGTTCGGGAATCCTTCGGGAATCGTTCGGTAAAAGTGCAAGACCAGCAGTCAATAAGAAGAAGAAAGAAAAAGTGTAGGGAATTGATAGGGAAAAGTAATTACTCTCTCACGGAACGGTTTGAAGATAATTGCTGTTTTATTCCCAAGGAATTCTTCCCTCAAAATAATACAGTCCACATCGAAGATTTAAGGCGTTGGGACCGGGACGATTTCGGAAGACCCGTAATCTCCGCCTGAACCTATTTTCTGAAAAGGAAGAGGTTATCGCCCTTGTGTGTTACTCCGTTGCGGAGATCACATACGTTGTTCCCGAACCCAACGTAGGCGTTTTTTCTTCGGAAAAAAACTTAGAAATTATTGAAAATAAGTTTATTGTTTTGCTACAGGTAAATTTTACATTATGCAGGATAAAATTTTAAACATTTAACAAATCGAAATAGGTTTAGTTAACTTATTTTAAAAATCAATTGTTTGAAAAGAAAAGTCCAATCAGTTTATCGTCTTAGATGGTGTTAACCAAGTTTTTATTTTTATTATAAAGCTTCTTTATCACAAAACCGCTAATTAAAAATAGTTGTTGATTTTCAAGAGTTATTAAACGAACTGTCTGGAAAATATTTATTAATTAGGAAAACAATAAAGTTTTACACTATATAATAGTTTAACAAAGTGAACTTTAAGCAGAGAGCTGCTTAAAAATAAAACATGACATCTACCTAGGGCTAAGTATTCCCCAAAAAGATGTTTTGCTTTAACTTTACATTACTATTCACCGAAAGCTTAACAATATGTGCGAAATATCAAAAGTTTTGAAATTGGTCTGCCTTCATCACATACGATAACAAAGTGGTACAGTACAATTTATGGCCGACTTGGCAACACAAAAAAAAGCGTTAACTGTTTTAAAACTTAGACTAGTGAGTAACCCTGACAAGAAATTATATTGTATATTAGTGATAGATGAAATGAAAATAAAACAATTGACGGAGTACCATGCAAGTTCTAAAAGACATTTTGGATATATACATAATGCCTTTGACTATGGTATGGTATTCTGTCAATTGCTTAATTTTCATTTCATCCATTACCAAGGTACAATAAAAAAAATATCAGGGTTACTCTCCGCTCTCAATTTTAATGCCGTCAGCGCTTCTTGAGCAAACCCTAGTCGGCGATCGATGGTATTGTACCACTTAGTCAATGTACGGGTGCAGGAAAACTTGTTCCAAAAGTTTTACGTACATAGCGATAGGCTTTTGTTGAGTAATAGTTAAGTGCTATTGTTTTTTATTTCAAGGCATTTTTTCATTCTAATTTTCCTTGGCCTAAGTGAGTGTTGGCTCCTACTCGCAGTGGGAGTAGGACTAGTTCGGGCTATATCCACTCACCAATCAATCACCACGATTACCCTAAAATAAATAATTTTATTTTCTATATATATATATATATATATATATATATATATATATATATATATATATATTTTTTTTATTTGAAAATAAAATTATATATATATATATGTATGGTACTATGTGTATATGGGCTTTCAATCCGTCTTTTAATTTAAAAAAAATTATATTTCTTAGGAAAAATAGAAAAAAAAAATGGTAGAATACTAGAAATAGTAGAAGTTATTGAACCAAAATACTAGAAAATTGGGATAATAACAAAAAAATTTTAAAAATTCATTTAAAAAAAATGGTAAGAGATAGAAAAAAAATTTACTAAGAAAATATGCTTCTAATGAACCCATCTATCTCGCATTTCAGTTTGTCGGACCACCCACCAAACACCCTGTACATATATATATATATATATATATATATATATATATATATATATATATATATATATATATATATATATATATATAGCTTGAATCTTCTGACTGTTAGGGGTATGTAACAAAAACCCTATGGTTCCCGTTAAGTGCGTAGTGAGAATCAGTATCCAAGCGTATAGAATTTTTTTTTCAAAAAAAACACATTTAAAAAAAATTAATGAAAAAAAAATAATTTGCAAATTGTATGTGGCTTTATAGTCTCTGCATTGGCCGAGGAGTTAGAGGATTGTCAAAGACCCCGCATTACCTATACTCGTATGATTTAGAGGAAATAAAACCACATACAATTTACAAATTAATTTTTTTCCATTAAAATTAATTTTTTAATGTGTTTTTTTTTTGGAAAAAATATTTTTATACGCTTGGATTCTGATTCCGATAACGCAGTTAACGGGAACCACAGGGTTTTTGTTACATGTTGTATATAAATGATAAATATATTTATTTTGTAAAACATGAGTAAATAAAATACAAGTGTTAAAAAACTTAAAACGAGCTACATGTTTTGCCATTTATGGCGCACAAAAATTATACTACATTAAGTTTACAATTACAATAATAGGTATATAAATATATGAATTAAATTTGATAGGTTAGTGCTTTTTTAAACTTAATAAAATATTTTCAAGTAGAATAATGTTGGTGTCAAAAGTAATAATAAAAATATTTAATCTAAATATAATTACAGCCCAATATTACCTCCCATAAGTTCAAGGTTGGTACTGCAGTGACAGATTCATGGTTTCTACAAGCTACAATCCAAGTGTGCCGCCTAAGAGGATCTCTTGGAAATCTGTAATAACAAACCAATAACAGAAAAATTTACTACTTTTTGTAATACTTTATTATAAAATCTAAATAAAAACTACAAACCGGTTCGGCAGACAAACCCGCATGGTTAATTAACTTATCGATAGCTAAAGTTGCGGCGTTCATCACTATAGTGCAATACTTTCGGTTGCAGTGATACCAGTTTTTTTTTAGTACTTATTTATTTATTAGGAAATATATTTTCGTTAATATATATAACTTGTGTAGTAAATTATATATTTTTTTAAAATAGATTATTTTTCACTTTATGAACTATGATGGCCACACCCGGTATTGGACGATAATATTCACAAAGTACGAGTTTTAATGATAAAATTACTTTAATATTGTGTTAAAAATACTCACAGATGAAAAGTCACATTGATCTTTTGTATATTTGACGTTTATTATTGTTTTTGTCATGTAAATACACTGCAATTCGGCATTTTGTCGGAGCTCGATTTACTGGCACGATCGCTTCGGAATGACGCACGATGCGGAGCAACTAGTTTTATATAACGAGTATGAGTCGGACTCTCGTACCTTTTACAGAGGGGTATGCCTTGCGATGCCGTCTCCTTTGGTTTAATACTCAAAGACTAGGTAGTAGTGAATAATAAGTGATTTATTTTCAGTTTATCTCAGTATTTGATAAGTGGAATCCTGGCATTTAGGTCACCTTATTTTATTTGATGTACAGACGTCAGCAGGTCAAGCTACCCGAAACTGTTAATTTTTCCCAATGAACCTTGAACCTAAGGCTCTAGAAATAAAGTCGAAAATCTATCAAAAAAATCTGACAGATTGTAGTAGCTTGATGTGCTGGCGTCTGTACTACTGTACTACCAAACAATATCGTTTTACCTCTATGACCTGTTTTCTAGTTTATGAGTATCTTTTTATTTTATTTTGTAGACCAAATAAAAACGAATGTAAAATAAAAACGGATAATGTATAAAAACGAAAATGCCAAAATATAAACGAATAAAAGAGACGACGAAGTATTAATTAGCTGATCTAATAGAAGCTGTCGAAAACGTACGACAAAAAAAAATTAATAGCTACCAAGCCTCCGTAAAATACGGAATACCAAGGTCAACCATTATTCACCGTTTACACGGAACACACGGTGCCAAACAGCCAACGCCTGGCAGACCTACTGAATTGTCAAAAGAGTGGGAAACTAAAGTAGCTCCTTAATCTCCATGTGATGGAAAAATGTGGGTATCCATTAACCTCCAAGGAAGTAAAAATATTGATATCTGATTATATTCGAAGGAACGGAATCATTACGAGATTTAAAGACAACTATCCTGGGAAGGAATGGTTTAGAGGATTTAAAAAACGAAACAAATTAAATTTGAAAAAGCTGCAGTCTGTAGAAATAGCTCGAAAAAAAATGTGATCCTTTCATAGTTAACGATTATTTCGATATGTTACAACGAACAATACAAGAGTGTGGTTTGGCTGACAAACCGCAATGTATATATAATTTGGATGAAACCAGCTTTTGTAGTGACCCCCACCAAAACTAAAGTTGTGGGTCTGATGGGTTTTCCCTCGACTAGAACGATAGGCTCTCCTGGGAGGAATAACACCACTGTGCTCTTAGCTACGAATGCACTTGGCAAAAAGATCCCACCCTTAATAATCATCTGTGAAGCGAGTGGCTGTTTAAAAATGATAACATTCATACAGCTTACGCCGACAGTAAAAAAGGGTGGATGGAGACCACCATTTTCGCACAATACATCAAAGCCGTTTTTTTGCCAGCTATTGGAGCAGAACGACCAGTCTTATCGGTCTATGATGGTCATAAGACACATGTAGTTTTGAATGTCATAGACCTTCTAGTTGCCGAAAACATTACGGTTCTTAAACTGCCGGCTCACTCATCCCACATACTGCAGCCATTAGACTGTAGTACAATGAAACCTATGAAAGACAAATGGGACAGCGAACTTGTGAAATGGCAAAGACTCCATGTGGGAGCAAAACTGCAAAAACAAGAATTTTCCAGAATCATAACTAATATATGGATGATTTAAATCCTGTTATCATTCAAAATGGCTTCAGGAAAACGGGCATATGCCCTTTGAACAAAGATGCAATCCCAAAAGGAAAATTCGACAGTCTGGCATGGTCAAGATGGGAAGAACACCAGCAGCAAAAAACAGCTTCGTAATGATACTGATCACAATGGTGAAGAAAATGTTGAAGGAAGTCACACCAAGAAAGATAACAGTCAAAAAGAACATAAAGTACCAACACTAATAAGTGTATGCCTTAAAACAATTAACAGTGAGATACGACGATTGCCAGACGAAATTGATAAGGCTATTGCAAACATTACATGGGATATGAAGAAAAAGCTACCGAAAGAAAATGGTACAAAGGCTGATATGAACACGTACTCAGGTACTCGGGTTACAATTCAAAAGTGGGAGACTGTAAAGGACCCTAAAACTTTCATACTTTCACGTCCTAATAATGCCAATACCAATGCCAACAGTTATTCTTGTAAAGTAAAAATATTGGATAATGTAGTCGTCAGCTCAACAATAAATAAAAGCAAAGAAGAAGAACGAGTTTCATTCGAAGAGCTACTATTAAAAACTATTTCACGTAACGACATACCTAAAACTTTAAAGAAACTGATAAGTCAAGGAAGCGAAATACTAACTTACAAAGATGCACTTCATCATCTGAAAAATGAGAAAGAAAAAAAGGAAAAAGCAGAAGAAACTAAACGGCTAAAAATCTGAAAAGAGCAAGTTATAATGAGAACAAAAAATCACTGATAAATAAGTCCAAAGCAAAGAAAAATAAAAGGAAAAAGACCTTAGACCCAGAGAGTGAGAGTGATTGTACATATACTTCAATGAATTCTTCAGAAAATGAAGAACCTGAAGTTTTTTTTTTCAAAATATTTTGGAAGAAAGCATTGATGAAGATTTGCAGGAGCCATTACCATTATCTAATAGACAAGGACAAGAAGAAAATAGACCTAAAATAAAAAGTGAAAGATTGAATAAAGGGCAGAAAAAACATTAAGGCAGAATGAAGTAAGTGATTCAGGGTAGTTATTAATATTATTAAGTGATATAGGTACACCCGGGGCATAAGATCGTGGGAAATCTACGTTCTATGTTAATAAAATAAGTACAAATTTTCAGAAGGCGGGTAGTTTATATGAACATTCTACTGTTTTGGAAGAAAGGTTTGACAAAGATTTTTATGATCCGTTACCATCTAATTCTAAAGGACAAAAACAAAAGACACCTAAAATAAAAAGCGAAAGCGTGAAGGAAAGAAAGACTTACACTGTCAAGAAGAAAATATTTACACAAAAGGAAGTAAGTACACATTATCATAAACTTTCTAAGTTATAATATAGTAGTACAGGAAGGATAACAATTTGATTTTATTTTCAGAATAAAATGCCACAACCACAAGCATCTGAGGTAAAAAAAGATCTCGACGTGGCTGACTTCATTTTGGCTGGATTTCGGTCGTCTAAAGGCAAAAGGACGTATAAATACGGGTAAAAACTTCGCGATGTGATGCATCAGCATATTGTGAATAAAAAATATATAAAAATGAAAATTGTGAAAGAAATGATAGGCTCAGAAGGGCTAGAACCCAGAGCCAAAAAGCCAGTTAAATTAAGAAAAAAAGTGGAAGTGATGATCTGTCAAAATTACTCCGACTGAGCTTTTGACTAGAGAAAAAAGAAAGGACATACCTACGAAAAACGCGTGTATACCTAAATTATTATTAATTATAATTAACAGTGGTAGAGCCACGCGGCAGCTTTGCTGTTGCACGTATAGGCCGGCTCAAACCGGGGTGGTACCACGACCTCACAGAATACCGGCGTGAAGTGGAAGCTTTGCTTCCGCGTTTCGTCTGGTGAGTGCAGGTGGCCGGAGGCCCAAATCCCCCCCCCCATCAACATGGTAGCGGAATTAAATAATGATAGACTACCCCAGAAGGGTACCAGCACCGCAGGAGAATCCCTCGCTGAGCATCCACGATCATGTTTCTCCACTTCTGAGCGTGGGTGCTCAGGCTGCCCCGCGTATTCTGGGGGGGGGGGGGGCAAAATTCCGTTCAAGACTACAACTGCTCGGGGTAAACGGAGCAACAAAACCAAGGCGACCCCTGCCACGCTGTCCGTGAATATCTGCAATATCAGGGGACTTCACTCTAATCTAAACGCCGTTCACTACCATCTCGAGACGGCGAGACCGGCTCTGCTCTTTCTGACCGAGACGCAGGTGTTCTCTCCGGCTGATGTCTCGTATCTCTCCTGCCCGGGGTACAAACTGGAACACTCCTTAGTTAGGACATCTGTTCTCGACGCCTCGGCAGACATGAAACTTCGGACCTGTCCATCCTTTGGCTACGCGTATACAGTGACGACCATCCGCGCGTCTACGGGTGCCTCTATAGGTCCCATAGCGGTAATGCCGAAACAGACCGACTCTTCGACCACGTCCAAATGGCTACAGATTCGTTGCTAGAGCAGATCCCCTCCGCAGAGATCGTGATCCTCAGCGACTTTAACGGCCATCACGCCGAATGGCTTAGTTCACGTTTAACCGATCATGCGGGGAGATCTGTTCATGATTTTGCCTTGGCATATGGTCTGACAGAACTGGTTACTTCGCCTACGCAGATTACAGATGTGGAGGATCATGCACCTTTCCTGTTGGACCTTCTGCTGACCTCTCATCCGGACGGATATCAGATTTCCGTTGACGCCCCTTTAAGCTCCTCGGACCATTGTCTTGTTCGGAGTGTGGTGCCACTCACGCTGAAATCGCAGTTGCAATCTGCAGGCTGCCGCCGTGTTTGGCACTATAGTTCAGCCGATTGGGATGGGATGCGGTCTTTCTTTGCATCCTACCCTTGGGGGCGGGTTTGCTTCTCGCCGGACGATCCCAATGTTGTTGCGGATTCTGTCACTGATATGGTACTTCAGGGTATGGAACTTTTTATTCCTTCCTCTGTGGTGCCCATTGGAGGCAAATCTCAGCCATGGTTTGGTCGCTCCTGTAAAATAGCATCATGCTATAAGCAGGAGTGCTACCAAGCCTGGGCTGACGCATCAGCGTCCCGGGATGTAAACACCAGCGCTCTAAAAAAGAAGTATAATTCCGCCTCTAGGTCCTTCAAAAGAGTCATTGCCAAGGCAAAGTCAGAGCACATAGGCAGAATTGCATGCCGGAAAGTGCAGTTCACACAGCGCTCGGTTCGCAAAGTACTCCTCTCCCTGGACATCCACAAGTCAGGTGGGCCTGATGGAATCCCCCCAATTGTGCTGAGGACGTGTGCTCCAGAGTTGGCACCGGTTTTAACGCGTCTTTTCCGGTACTCCTACTCCCTAGGCGTAGTCCCAAAATCATGGAAGACGGCTTTTTTCCACCCGATCCCTAAAAAAGGTGACCGCTCAGACCCGTCCAACTACCGGCCTATCGCCATCACCTCCTTGTTCTCCAAAACAATGGAGTCCATTGTAAACTGCCAGCTCATGAGGTACCTTGAGGATCACCAGCTGATTAGTGACCGCCAATACGGTTTTCGCCGTGGTCGGTCAGCTGGTGATCTTCTGGTCTACCTAACTCACAGATGGGCGGAGGCAGTAGAGTCCAAGGGTGAGACATTGGCCGTTAGTTTGGACATTGCGAAGGCCTTCGATCGGGTTTGGCACAAAGCGCTTCTTTCGAAGCACTCTTCCTATGGGCTTCCCGAGAAATTGTGCGATTGCATCACCAGCTTTCTTGCAGATCGGGGCATCAAGGTCGTTGTAGACGGTGCAAGATCCGATTGCAAGCCTATTACTGCTGGTGTTCCACAAGGCTGCGTGCTATCGCCAACGCTGTTTCTTCTGCTTATCAATGATATGTTGCAAACCCGTAACACTCATTGCTATGCAGATGACAGCACTGGTGATGCTCTTTACACCGGCCGAGCCAATATTTCTCGGGAAAACGTCTCCGAGTGCCGGGACAAACTTGTGTCTGAAGTCTTTGCTGAACAGAGTCTCGGATTGGGGGCGACTAAATCTAGTCCAGTTTAACCCCCATAAGACACAAGTTTGTGCGTTAACCGCTAAAAAGAACCCCTTTGTCGTATCTCATCAGTTTCAAGGCACTCCCCTTGTTGCCTCAGCCAGTATCGGAATCCTCGGCGTAGACATATCGAGTGACGTGCAGTTTCGTGGTCACTTGGAAGAGAAGGCCAAATTGGCCTCTAAAAAGCTTGGCGTGCTTAGCAGAGCGGGACAGTATTTCATGCCGGCACCCCGCCTGCAACTTTACAAGGCGCAGGTTCGGCCGCACATGGAATACTGTTCCCATCTCTGGGCTGGGGCTCCCCAGTACCAGCTCCTTCCACTTGACCGCATCCAGCGCAGAGCGGCTCGAATCGTCGACGACCGAGTGTTTTCCGATCGGCTCGATTCACTGGCACTGCGAAGAGATGTTGCATCTCTTTGCATTTTCTTTCGCATATACCATGGAGAGTGCTCTGAGGAATTGTTCGGATTAATCCCAGCCGCCAAATTTCGTGAACGCACTACGCGGCAAACGTCGCGATACCATCCACATCATCTGGATGCTTGGCGGTCCACCACTGTACATTTCAAGAGGAGTTTTCTTCCGCGTACAACCTCTCTGTGGAATAGTTTACCACCAGCGATTTTTCCGGACCGATACGACCTGGGGACCTTCAAGAAAAGAGCGTACTCCTTTCTAAAGGGCCGGCAACGCACCTGCAATTCCCCTGGTGTTGCGGTTGATCATGGGCGGCGGTAGTCACTTAACATCAGGTGAGCCGCATGCTCGTTTGCCCCTTTTTCTATATAAAAAAAATGAGTCTGGCACAAAGATGGCGGCTTGACGTAGTGTTGCGCACTATACTTAATATCGATAATGTGGTGCTTATTTGAAAAAAGATTCTTTGGTGTGATTCTTCTCAAACACCCGAGTGTTCTTAGATAGGTTTTTTCAAATCGATATGACGGATGACAAATTGTAAGTCCTTAATTTTTTTTTACTCATCCTATCGATAGGGATATCAAAATAAAGGAAATTAAGGACATTACTGAAATATATATAAGTTATACTTAAGCTTTCAGTTCATTACTTTTAAGTATTCATTTTGTTTTGCTTTTATAATGTAACTATCTATTGTTAATGTTACAATTATTTGTCAGGAATTACTAAACAAGAAATACTAATTAAATAATTTTTGTTTGTTTGTTAGACAATAAATTAGGCTCAGTCATCACACTCACACAAATCTATATACTATCTATAAACTATAATAAATGCAAAAGTTTGAATGTTTGTTTGTTCCTCAATCACGCCAAAAGTATCAGACCAGTTAAATGTAATTGGGCACACAAATAGTTTATTACCTGAATTAACATATAGCATTAGAGGTCCCGAGAGATATAATAAGAAGATACCTAAGGCGGAATACCTACTTTATAATAAAACTGAAACTTCCATTTAAAAAAAGATTTATTACAAACATAAATTACCCGCACTTACTCATTACGAATTTATATAATTTTATTAAAATAATTTCGAAACGAAATTTTTTCTGTTATTTTCTTTCCAAAGTATTTAAACCTCAGATCCATATAGGTTTGGACTACGGATTTAATAAGTAAAAGTCTATGTGTCGTGTCATGTTCGCAGTTTGATTTAAACAAATTCGCTTCATCAAAATGTTCCAATAAAAAATCTGAACA